GCTGGCCATGTAGCAGCTACTAAATAAATAAATAAAAGCATTATTTCAAAAATTTAATTTAATAGTACCAAAAAAGTAAATGCCATTAAGGTTGATCTTTGGATTATGGTAACTTGGCGATTTTGGCGAAAATTTGGCGACCAACTCTGCTACAGCAACCCTCTATTTCTTTTAACCCTCCATTTTGTCTTCACGAAGTAAAGACATGTTTCTTTTCTTTTTATTTACTCAACACTTTTTCCAACAATCTACTAGCTGAATTACACTGATGCTAGAAATTTTATGTAACAAAACTGCTTAATCATGACAAATATTAACTGCAAAATTGGGAAAAAGTGCAGAATCGCAAACTCCTTGCGCGTTTTTCAGAATAGCACATACACATAAACCATTTACACGTCGACTTATTTTTACTTAACAAAAAATACCATAATTGCACAAAAATGGCATTGCACACACTCTTAACTTTATCCATCTACACTGCTATTTTCTCATAAATTACAAAAATTTGCACGAAAATGTTCTTAATCTTTAAACTCGATAAAAAGCACATATATGAAATTACCTGATCGCGAAAAAGTACATAACCTTTCCAAGGATGAACATTTCCACATATGAAATAAATAAAATATCCAAAAGCTTTTACCTCTAAATTATCTATATATTATAAACGTCACTAACGAATTTATACGCAAACATTAAAAATAGTTACAAATACTTAGTGTCAAATATTTAAATTTTTCCATACATGTTTACTTCAACTGAAACGTATACCAAATTCCTACAAACATAAAATTCACAAAATAACTATCATTTAATTAAAATATCACTAAACCATGTGTACACGTCGACTTATTTTTACTTAAAAAAAAAAAACATCCCAGAATTGCACAAAAATGGCATTGCGCACACTCTTCACTATATCCATGTACACTGCTTTTTTCTCATAAATTAGAAAAATTTCACGAAAAATGCATGAAAATACTCAACGTATACTACTCAAACGTATTCCAAAATACGACAAATATATAACTCACAAAATCACGATCATTAAATTAAAATATAATTAAATTAAAAAACACTACTTAAAATATAAATAAGCACATACATTAAATTAATAAAAATTAGATTACAATCCTAATTACTTTAAACTAAATCATTGCTAATAACAATTTTCCAATAATACCACATTAATTTATTTACTCCTTACATTTAGAACAATGCATAAAAATAATATCCTCAAATGATTAAAAATACTAACTTACTTAATCGGTTGATCTTTACATTATGGTAACTTGGCGTTTTTTTGGCGAAAAGTTGGCGACCAACTCTCCTACAGCAACCCTCTATTTTTTTTTCCCGCCGCCATTTTGTCTTCACGAAGTAAAGACATGTTTCTTTTCTTTTTATCTACTGAACACTTCTTCCAACAATCTACTAGCCGAATTACACTTATGCTAGAAATTTTACCTAACAAAACTGCTTACTCATGACAAATATTCACTGCAAAATTGGGAAAAAGTGCACAATACCATACTCCTTACGCGTTTTTTCAAAACTCATACACATAAACCATGTACACGCCGACTTATTTTTACTTAAAAAAACATCCAGAATTGCACAAAAATGGCATTGCTCACACTCTTCACTATATCCATGTACACTGCTTTTTTCTCATAAATTAGAAAAATTTCACGAAAATACATGACAATTTTCTCAATCTTTAAACCCGGTAAAAGAACATATATGAAATTACCTGATCGCGAAAAAGTATTTACCCTTTCCAAATATGAACATTTCCACATATAAAATAAATAAAATATCCAAAACTTTTACCTCTAAATCATCTATTACATTATACACATCACCAACGAATTCATAACCGCAACCATTACAAATACTTAGTGTCAGATATTTAAATTATTTCCATGCACGTTTACTTCAACTAAAACGTATACCAAATTCCTACAAACATAAAATTCACAAAATAATTATCATTTAATTAAAATATCACTAAACCATGTTACACGCCGACTTATTTTACTTAAAAAAACATCCCAGAATTGCACAAAAATGGCATTGCGCACATCTTCACCATATCCACGTACACTGCTTTTTTCTCATAAATTAGAAAAATTTCACGAAAATACATGACAATTTTCTCAATCTTTAAACCCGGTAAAAAGAACATATATGAAATTACCTGATCGCGAAAAAGTATTTACCCTTTCCAAATATGAACATTTCCACATATAAAATAAATAAAATATCCAAAAACTTTTACCTCTAAATCATCTATTACATTATACACATCACCAACGAATTCATACCGCAACCATTACAAATACTTAGTGTCAGATATTTAAATTATTTCCATGCACGTTTACTTCAACTAAAACGTATACCAAATTCCTACAAACATAAAATTCACAAAATAACTATCATTTAATTAAAATATAATTAAATTCAAAAACACTACTTAAAATATAAATGAGCACATACATTAAATTAATACATACATAAATACCCATTTCGAATTCACTTTAGTTACGGCCATGGGATCCAAAAATTCACGAACACACTGTTTCACACAACACAACACAGAATAAAGCCAAATACAAAATTTCCACATTTTTTCCCGATTTCCCCCCTTTTCCGATTAAAGAAGCGTAATTCGTCCATTAATATCACATGACATATCCCATGATCTCTCATTTCCCTCACGCAAAATAATGCGTAATCGGAACTGAGTACTGCTCACATTATTACCAAAGTCCCAGGTAGTAACCTTTATCGCCTCCAAAATGTCGCCAAACTACCAGTTACCATATTGTAAAGATCAACCACCTAATCTTCTTCAGAATCTTCATTACGTGGCTGCAGTACTACTGCTAATTTCTAAATCCTAAATCCAGTAGTCAACAAGTCTATTCACCAAGTAATAAGAAATTAATAAAATTTCACCTATACTCAAACTACTTTCAGCAAACCACGTACCCTTCCTTACACTCCTTTTCATAAAATGTCCATTTTCACCATATTTCTTGCACCGCCATTTAAACTTAACTGTAATATCCTTCCTTTCACACAATCTCAACTTATTCTTACGAGGGCCATCCAGGAAGTAGATTACGTTTCCGTCTGTGTCCGCTAGGGGCGGGGCTAGCGCGGCCATCTTGGGGTCAGAGCGTTGCGCAGCTCAGTCTGCATCTAGCCGTGCTAGTGAGAGGTTCGTGCTGTGCTCCGTTCAGATACTGTGACGGTTTGAAATGTCTGCGTTAATTGAAAATCCCGCGAGCTGCGAGGTGCGCTCAGTAATAAGGTTTCTGACTGCAAAAAACTGTAAACCGATAGAAATCTATCGGCAGCTTCGTGAAGTGTATGGGGACAACATTATCACTGAAGGTGGAGTGCGTCAGTGGGTCATAAGATTTCAAAATGGCCGAACCAATGTTCACGACGAAGATCGAAGTGGGAGACCCAGCATAGTGACCGCCCGAACTTCTCGAAAAAGTCGATGCTAAAGTCCGTGAAAATCGAAATTTCACAATAACGGAACTTTCTTTGAGTTTTCCACAAATTTCGCGAAGTTTGTTGCACGAAATCATCAGCGAAAAGCTTGGTTACCACAAGTTTTGTGGTCAAGATGGAAGGCAAGAAGAGGTTAACGAAGTGGTTGAAGGCGCAGGCGGCCCGAATTTTTTCGACGAAGGAATTTCCAAGCTCGTACATCGCTACGATAAATGCCTTAATTTGTATGGTGACTATGTAGCAAAGTAGTATTTGAGTGTGGCTTTCATCTGTATATAATAAAATTTGTTTCCTATACTTTGTTTATTTTTTTATTCCAAAACGTAATCTACTTTCTGGATAGCCCTCGTATTATCAGATAAATGCATTAAAAATTTAGAATTCACTTTACATAGCGCCATGCAATCCGAAAATTAATCAACACTATTTCACACAACACACAATGAAGCTTTTCCAAATTAACCCCCTTTTCCGATTAAAGAACTGTAATTCGTCCATTAATGTCACGTTTCACACAACAGAGAATATAGCTAAATATGAAATTTCCAGACTTCCCCCCTTTTCCGATTAAACAACTGTAATTCGTCCATTAATGTTACATGACATATCTCATGATCTCTCATTTCCTTCACACAAAATAATGCGTAATCGGAACTGAGTGCTTCTCAAATTATTACCAAAGTGCTAGGTAGTAACCTTTATCGCCTCCAAAATGTCGGCAAACTACCAGTTACCATATTCCAAAGATCAGCCGAAATTAAATTTAAGGGTACTGGATATTTAGTTACATTTTTGAGACAAATAAATTGACCATGAAAAAATACTTATATCATGATAACACATATGATAAAAACATAACATCATAGTCATACACACAAAAATTAAAGTACTTAAACAAAAATAAATAATGTTTTGGCAGCATTTTATAAATAAACGATGATCTTTGTAAGAAAGCATCAACTTTCTTGAAATGCATTTAGATTTTTTCCCAACATTTTAAAATTACGACCTTGAATTAAAACTTACTGTATAATTTTTAAATGCCTAATAATTATTCCCTTTTTTAGTTTACAAGTAAAAAATAATGCACGTCTGCACTTACTAGATGGCTATCATTCTGGTTTCCCAGAATGTATTTTCGAACATTTACTTTTATTAAATGATCTCAATACATGCGTTTAGTTGCCACAATCCGAAGCTAATTAGGTCCTTATTTGGCAGTTTTTTGGGTAAGTTATCGAAACTTTAAACAATATATTAAGCATAACAAAATTGTCTCTAATATTTCTTTCGAATAAGAAATTATAAGAGGTTAAAAAAATCAATTATCCTAATCAAAACAGAAGTACCAAATTTATTTAATCGTTAGCTCGTCGAAAAGTTATGAATTAAAATACTACGCAAAAGACCTAAAAAGCGCTTTCAACACGAAAATAAAAAACAAAGTGCTGAATGTTCTTAATACGTACAAATATTACATGGGAAATATGCTTTTCAAAATAGTCACTATTCCAAGACCTCAAAACCAGAACAGTTTTCAATAATCCAAAGGAACCGCCAAATAGTGCTGCCAAATTACAATACCTAAAATAGATCCGAATAATAATAATAAAGTCCGTTACAATTATGCGACTACAAACGCTGACGGTTTACGGAAGTTAGCGGGTCTCACGTGACTGGTGGCAACAATACGTCACAAACTATTTGTCTGGGTTACTATAATTGGCTGTTTTCCACTTTTTTATGTGAATTTCGAGAAGTTTAGTTTATAGAAAATCCTTAATATCATCATGTAAACAAACACCGATGGCAAAAAATTATTTGGTAACTACATCCATTACGTATTGATAAATGTTTCGACATGATTACATATAACTGCATTAATAACCAAATAAAACAAACTTAGATTACAAATGCGTTATGTAATGGAGCATGTTACTAAAACTTCAGAATTGTAGAATCCGGAAGATTTTTTTTTCCGAGTTAAAAGTATAACAAAATACGAGCAGTGTTCTAATAATTTTTAAATCTTCATATTCTTTAATATTACTGCTGTTTTTGATAACATGATCATAACATAACTGATGATCATAACATCATTTAAAATAAAATCTAATTTAAAATAAAGTCATTTAAAATAAAATCTAGTAATTCTGCTGAATACTGCTTTTCATGAAAGCACGAGAATATTTTAATGGGATTATTAAAGTATCTGTAATAAAGAAAAAAACAAAGTAGGTTAGGAATAAACAGTAAGTAAAAGGAAGATTACTAATAATATATATTAACTATTGTATATATGTGTAATTTTGTGAATTGTGAAATAATGATATTTGTTCATTTTATAATTTAATAAATAAAAATTGTGAAAAAATTATATTTGTTCATTTTATAATTTAATAAATATTATGAAAAAGCTACGTACTTTTTAAAAAATCATTTGCACATGTTTTTCATTATTGCATTTAAGTTTTATTCATTATTTGAATCAATATATATAAGAATATAAGAGAATCGTATACATTTTATGAGTAAAATATTATACGCAGTATGAATGGAGATATGTTACTGTAAGATCCTAAAGTCTGGTAAATCCTAGGTTTTACCAGTAAAACCTAGCTTTTACCAAAGTAGCTTGTTAAAAGCTCGAAGTATGCTTTAATATGATTCCACTTCAGCCTTTGAGGTAAAAACCTAGGAGTTACCAATGCCTTCTGGTAAAATCCTGAAACGAGGGATTTAAATCAACCTTGAATAAGCCTCCGCACACAAATTCCGTCATGACACTTTTCTGGTCCTGCCCCTCCTTATTTGCACCATTCGCAGTCTAACTTGGACATAATTTAAACAAGTGTAAGCAACTACGATCTAAAAAAGAAAAAGTTTGGGCGCAAGTGCAGAATCGCCCACTTATCGATGTTCACATGGACAAAGTCAAGGGAGTGCTTAGTGCCGAGTTTGTGTAATTCTCTGATGTTATTTTATGCAAAAATAGGTTGTTGTGTACATGGACACTGAGTTTGTGCAATTCTTAGACTTGTTATTTTCAAGTTGGCGATTTTGAGAAATGCGCTAAACAGGGGTGATTCTGCACTTTCCCTGAAGTTTGTTTCCATTTTTACATACTTTGCTTTTTTTTATTTTGCTGATGGGAAATGAGTGATGTTATGCGGAAAAAGATTATGACATTTTGTCTGAATTTGTAAAAAATAAGCCTGATAACTGCTTTTATTTAACAAGTGAGAAATATGTGATGGAGAAACAAACAGTTCATTACAGAAGGTTGAAATGCTGTCGTATTCTAATTGGAGGAAAGGACAAACTTATAATATCACTATTTGCAAAAATCCTATATTATGTTACAACTGATGAAGTCTTCAACACAGCACTCATATTGCAATTGGCCATGGTGAAAGAACTTGCATGATTAAAGAACTGAATCGTAAGTACAAGAATGTAACAGTAGAACCTATTTTCACATATTTAAGACTATGCGAACCATGTCAGAAGAAACAAAAAACTGTGAAAGATGGGATTGTAATTAAATCAGTTGTGCATAGTGAAATGAATTCTCGATGCCAAGTCAACCTAATAGATATGCAGTCCAATACTGATCATGATATGAAATTCATTTGAGTGCATCAAGATCATCTTACACAATTTGTCCTACTCCGATGTTTACACAGTAAAAGAATTGTTGAAGTAGCATATCACTTTCTGGATATTTTCATAGCTTTTGGATCCCTGAGCATTCTTCACTCTGATAATAGGAGGGAATTTTGCAACCAAATCAAATCATAAACAGTTTATGTGAAATGTGGAGTGATATAAAAATAGCTCACTGAAAACCGAGACACAGTCAGTCACAAAGTTCTGTCGAACAGGTGAACCAAGATGTTGAGAACATGTTGGAAACAAATAAGATAGGAAATTGGTCAGAAGGATTAAAATTTGTTCAAAAATAAAAAAACAAAGCATATCAGGAAGGATTGAAATGTTCATCTTAATGAAGCTATCCTGATGTTCTGCAAAGTTGTCTTATGAAGCTAGGACTTGCTAACTCAGTTTTGCCACATAATTTGATTAGTAACATGACCACTGAACAGGATTTAGAAAAAAGTTATAAGTATGTATTACTAATGAATGTGTGATTAATACAGAAAATGGGAAAACTAATCTCGAATCAACAGTTGATTTAGAATTGCAAGATAATAATAATGCATATGAAAAATAATCAGACATAACAATGGAAGCAGATACTAAAGTTTGAATTGAAATGAAAGAACCAGATATATGCTCTGACACAACGGGTGCAATTATCAAGAAAACTCAAAATGTGAAAGTGTTTCGAGAGACAGTTAAGGAAGGAGGACTTCAGAAGCAGGCAAAGAAGATGAAGACTGTGTCTACTAAAAACTTTCCGAAAACACCAAATACTTTTGGAAAAATGTTAAAATAAAAGTACCTGATATTGATAGATCAAAAATGGATCCAAAATCAATAATAGCCGTTATTAGAGATATTTAAGATGATGAGTTTTTATGTTTTTGATAGTAAGTTCGGTAAATTAAAATCGTTGTAAACAGGAAAGCAGTTTATTTTTTGTAAAGAAAAATTTTTTGAACATTGAAGAAGTTGGTATAGAAGAAGTAAGTGTATGTGAAATAGTAAAAAAAAAAAAAAAAAAAAAAAAAAAATTCTTTAGTTGGGGTACAAGGACTTAGAAAATGCAGCTGTTAAAAAAAGTGTACTACGAACATCTGTTTGTGCAAATCAGCTGATCTACTTTGTAAATCCAAATGCCATAACAATCAAACTTGTAACAGGTAATAAAATGTATTAAAGTAGTAGTACTAAAGAAAAACATGCTACAGTTTTCTTATTTTTTTAGTTACGTGCTTATTTAACTCTCCCTTATATGTTGTGGTATTTCAATTCCTAGGTTTTTAATCTTTTTTTTTTTTTTTTTTTTTTTTTTTTCTCCTCGTTTTCAATCTTAGAACTTTGTATTTATCAAGTAATAAAACAGAAGCTGCTTACAGTATCATCTGTATTCAGGCTTACAGTACTGGATATTAAGATCCTTCAAGATTCAGTGTTATTCAAGTTTGGCATTTTTGATAGTGAATAGTACAAGTAAAATATATTACAAATAAGAAATATTTGAATTTCAGATATTATACTTGAGACTCAAGTCATAAACATGTTATTTATTCCTTGTTAGTTGAAATCATACTTTAGGATATTATGAGTTAAATTTTGTAAACTATATACTTAAAAAGAAAAAAACCTTTGAAAATTTGTCCTTAGGTGATAAAACAATATTAAAATATAGCATATAAGCATAAAATTAGAATTCAATAGCCAAGCCAGAATTTAAATTACTAAAGTTTAAAATGCTAAATTTAAATTACTAAAGTTTAAAATAGTGTGAAAAAAGTCTCATGTTATTTCGAGCTTCCCAATTATGTTTAAGTAGAGAATTCTTTGTTAGAGCAGGACAAAGAAGGAAGTGATCACTATCCATAAAGCCAGAATGGCAGAGATAATCAAGACTATTAAAAATTCCAGTCTTACTCATGTGGACAGCCAGCCCAGCAATGATATTCCACTGCTAATCAAAACACAACTATTGTATCTTCACTAGGGCACCAGTCTAGTAAATCATCAAAATCCTTGAGTTTTTCCCTCAATGTAAATTAAACAAAACCCTGCTGAATTTTAAGCTTTGTGGCTCAAAGTTTATCTGAGACATCTATGAAAGTCTAAGAATGTTGTTGAAACTTGAGTTGGAAATTTGTATCTCATGAGACATGCACAGTTGTCCAGTTCAGTATAAAAGTAACTCTTAGGGTTGTTTTTTCAATGCCAGTCAAGGTGAAGAATCTGATTTTGCATTTGTTCCAATTTGTTCTTCAAATCCTCAAAGGCAGTTATTAATTGAGTGCTGGAATATTTCATAACAGTAAGTAGGTTTGTAAGTTGTAAATAAAGTGGAAGTCGCATATCCCCACCTTACTCCTGTTGTTTTTAATTACATTGAAAAAATTATTAATCCTTTAACGTTAGTTCCTCCACCCATTAATTCCAAGACCAATTCCTATTTAAGACAATTACCATGTAGTTAAAAGTTTAGAAACAATTATTTCAATGATAATTCCTCCAATCCATTAATTCCAAGACAAATTTCTATTTAAGACAATTCCCATTTAGTTAAAAGTTTAGTATTGAGGCACATGGATATTATTATATAAAAACTCCAAGTCAAAAGGCTTGTGACACAATACAAAAGTTATACAGGCAGGCTTTTTTCTGTTTCTATGCATGTTATTTAATTGGCACCAAGTACTCAAGTCTTCATGACATCATTTAATTAACTATTTCTGTGTACCTTTTTTGAGGATGGAAGACCATGTCACCAAATTTTCAGCATACATCAATACATTTACATCCCTATCTTCTAACATAAATATAAGGTTGTTGACATGTATATTACAAAGAAACAGCTGAACATAGTATCCTAGGGAAGACGGGACTGAAGTTGCTTGTGATGAGATATGAGTAAAGTGTAATGCAATATGTTTGTGTTATTCATAACACAGTGCATTTATTATAAGACAGATCATTTAAAAAAAATCATTATTTGAGTTTTGCATTTCTATTTTTTATTTTATTTTCTATTACTTGATTCTCCCTTTAAAACAACTGTAATAATAGAGATACAAGAAGACTGAAATAATGATTTTGTTTCTTACCTGCTTTAAAATGAACACACTGTATGTCAGTGTTAGACTAATATCAAATTATATGGAACTAGAAGCATATCTTCTGTCCTTCATTTCTTTCCAAATTCAGTACCAAGCATCATTTCATCATGTGGTGGAATATGCAAATTAAACTGTTGGTAATACAGGTATAATTCCACTGCGTTAATGCTGCAGCCATCCAAATTTTGATAGAGAACACCCCTGGGGATACATCTGAGGGTCTTCCGTTCCTTCTTTCCAACAAGCTACTCTAATAATTTTGTGGTTCAAATGTTCGTTAAGTTCGTAAAAACGTTATTGATGCTTCTTCTAGCTTTTCCACCAAAATTTGCATTAGTGTTATCCTCACAATAGGCAATGATTTTATAGTTCAAATTATTATTTTTTAAAATAGTACTACTTATTGAATCAAAAATTATTTCTGAAGTTTCACCCGGCAGTGAAATAAAATCTAATATTCTAATTTTAATTTCTGTTTCTAGATCAAAAAGTTTAACAATTGTGGAAAATAATTTAAAATTTTTGTGGTTGGAAGCATCATAATATATGGATATAAATGTGCATTTAAAATCTAATTGTTTCTGCAATTGTGAAAACGAATATAGTGAAAAAACATTACAAATAATTGCTTCAGTTTTTGTCGTTGCTTCTG